GGGTCTCCCTAAACGTGGAGCTGGCCACAGTCACTTTCTCTTACATTGTGCCGATCCTAATCTATGTGTTAGCACTGCGCATAGGGTTTCGCGGATGTGCTGTACAGCTCTGCGGTCTTTTCAGGTTCTAACGGCGTCCTTATTCAGGATGACGTCTGATGCTGCACGTGCTCTGGGGGCTTCTTCGGTTCCCAAAATGACTGAAGAAGCTACCTGCATAAATGCGCATGTGTGGGGAGTGGTAGTGCAACGGTTAGCATGCTGTGCGATGAACTCGGTTACCCGAGTTTGATTCCCGCTCGTGGTCAACACCAGTGACGATTATCTGAACCGATCCTGTGCCTCCCCTCGGTCGACTCGTCCTCAAATGAGTACCTGGTGCGGTGTGTAAACATTGCCTCGAGGGAGACAAAGGCGTCCGGGCGTGGTGTTGGCCACCCACCCCTTCATGTGCCATGCCGGCCTTTGCTCGCTATCAGCACTTGCCCCAACAGTCTGTTAAGGCTACACGGGGGATCTTTGTCTTTGTGTGGTGCAGGCCGGCATCACGACCACCCTGAACTCGCGCTGCTCTGTGCTGGCGGCAGCCAACTCCGTGTTTGGCCGCTGGGACGACTCGAAGGGCGAGGAGAACATCGACTTCATGCCGACGATTCTGAGCCGATTCGATATGATCTTCATCATCAAGGATGAGCACAATGAGAAGAGGGACATGGTAATAATTATCCCTTGCCCCAAATACGTTTTGCGGCCTTGAACCATTGTATAAATACATTTTGTAATACAATAGCTCCTCATTTGGGAAAGGGCTCATGGAGTCTCCCAAGTTTTCCTTCACGGGAGGATCCTACTTTGGGCTGTTTGGTCAATATATTCATTGTTTTGCATGTGGGAGTCGACTGAGGTTCACCATCTGAGGTGCCCTCCTACAGAGATGTTCGCTGTCTCGCAATAAAACTAACTTGTGAAGCATTCAGAGCTGGAAAATATTGGTTTGGAATCAAATAGGCTGATGATCGAATACGTATTTATTAGTATGTGTATTTGGAGACGCGGAACAGAGGGCGGCTTTTTGCACGTGATGATGCTGCTTCATGACAAAGCACAATAAATAAATATGCAGTAGCATTTTTACGTGCTATGAAGAAGGTCCATTGCCTGCAACGTCACCTGTTACACATTTCTTTTTTTTTTTACGGCCACTGTTATTGACGAGTGCACTGGCGTAGGATGGTTTTGAGCAAACGATCCTGCATGACGTCCCTCTGCTGCCGACTCGTATCTGCAGATCCTGGCCAAGCACGTGATGAACGTCCACCTCAACGCCAAGACGCAGATGCAGGCTGTGGAGGGGGAGATCGAGCTGTCCACGCTCAAAAAGTTCATCGCCTACTGCCGCTCGTGAGAGCGCGCACACACATATGCACGCACGAGAGCGACACGTTATAAAGGTGCAGCCCTGAAATTGCTCGCGACAATGGTGGCGCAAGAGACTCCAAGACTGAGCCCGAGAGCCCCCCCCCCCACCTAATGGAGTGTTTTGGTCCACTCGTCCATGCTGGCCAGGTGTATTGAAAGCGGTGGGATTATCTACATTTTATCCCACCGCACGTGACCTGCGAACCGACTAAAGTGCTGTGGGTGCACTCCTTTATACTGCTGGGTGGACAGAGGTGGGAGTGATATGGGAACAAAACCATCGACCCTGATTGCCAGTCCAGTGTGCTCACCGTGGCAGCATCCCAAGAACACTTGTTTGGCGCGCTTAAATTACACAAAGCGACTTTGGCGGACCATTGGAGGCTATGCTGAATTCGTCACTTCGGGCTAAGACGAAAGCTCTATTTCCCATTTCATAATGCCGTGTTGAACCATGTTGATTTCCCTCGAGGCTCTCTGCAGAGGCAGCTGGTGCGTTATAACGCCTGGCGCGGGTCATCCTGTAACGCACGTACCCTCATTAAGCCAAGAGAGTGAAGAGAGAGATGCTCGCGATGATTGCGTTTTGTCCGCGGCGGACGGGGGAATGCTCCGCTTGAGCTGACTTTTGTTGCCTTGGGGCCGATTTTCACGCGCGCCAGGAAATGCGGCCCTCGCATGTCGGCCGAAGCGTGCGAGAAGCTGAAGAACCGCTACGTGCTGATGCGCAGCGGAGCGCGCGAGCACGACCGTGACCGCGACCACCGCAACTCCATCCCCATCACCGTCCGGTAACGCGCACGGGTGCTTGGGCGCCTCCTGGGAGAGTCATTCCTACAGTCTTAATAAAAATTCTTATTCTGGTAACAATTAGTCATTTATCCTGGAACGCCACACTTTCAGGAGGGCTCTGCTACGTTGAGTTTTTATTTTTAAGGTGTCGGACAATCTTGAGTTGTTTATATTTATGTGGGAGGAAAACCGGAGCGCATGGAGAATATCCCCGTACAGATAGAAATATTGGTCCGCTTGTGTGATCCACCAACTGTAATCTAAATGCAAATTACTAGTTACTTGGAAGTAATGCAGATGTCAATTACAAATGTAATTTAATTGTTTAAATTACAGTTTAATTTAATAAGTTAGATACTGCCCATCTCTGCTGCTGAGATCCTTTGTTTCATCTTAGGTTTCAGCCGGCTGTGATTTAAACCAAGTTCTGAAGTGCGGTTAATGATCTGCATCCGATAAATACGCAGATCATTTGTAAAAAAAATTATGCAACTTTACTTGATACATGGGTGCCAGACACGGGTACTCCTTGGTCGCTCCTAAATATATTTTAAATAAATTTGGCTCCAGCGAAACCACTCCACGTGACCACCCCAAATTACCTCCCCACGTGATGACCCCCACACCAGAGATTGCGCCGCGTAAAGAACGCATGCGTCTTGCGGCTCCCGGCCACGTACGGATTTCGGCGAGCAGCTCCGTAGGGTCCTGGAAGTTCGGCCGCTCCCGTTTTAATCGCTCGCCCCCCCCGTGCTCGTCGCCGACGCTCGCAGGCAGCTGGAGGCCATCGTCCGCATCTCGGAGTCTCAGGCCAAGATGCGGCTGCAGCCGTTTGCCACGGAGGCACACGTGGACGAGGCTCTGCGGCTCTTCCAGGTGTCCACCCTGGACGCGGCGCTGTCCGGCAGCTTGAGCGGTACGCGCGGGGCTTGTCTGCTCGCGCACACACACCCACGCACACACACCCACGCACGCCCACGGACGCCCACACACACGGTGCATCCTTACACACGCCCTCTCCCCATGTCTTGGCCACAACTCAACACGCACGCGATAGCACGCGCACTGCGGTCATCGTGATTGTTGTCGATCCACTGCTGGATGGAGGCATCCCTACACCGCGTTGGTCATGGGGCTATTCTAAGCAGCAGGAGCATTTGTTATTCTTCGCCCGGCGATCGTCTCAACATCCCGTTACTCCTCAATAAAGTATCATCGTAATGGTGACGCGTAACGTGTTCGCTTGTCTGCCGCGCAGGCGCGGAGGGCTTCACAACGCAGGAGGACCAGGAGCTGCTGGCGCGCGTTGAGAAGCAGCTGAAGCGCCGCTTCGCCATCGGCTCCCAGGTGTCGGAGCACAGCATCGTCCAGGACTTCCTCAAGCAGGTGCTTGGTCTTTTTCTCGTGGAGCTGAAACATCTTGCTGGCTCAATCACAGGCTGCTGTACCTCAACTTGTTGTCGCGAGCCTTTCATGTTTTAAGATATACGTGTAGCTGATGGTGAAATGAATGTAACTTGTGTAAATACGTAAGAATCATTTTTCGTAGACGTAAAAGTTAACTCGATTTATTTGTGTTTTCAATAAGTGTTAAAGATCCATATTAGTGTTCCGAGTCACGTGATAAAATTGGCTTTGTACCAATAAAGTACAAAGGCACAGTTCCATTATTTGTTGGCACTACATCAGCTAATGCTGGTATTTCAAACACACGTGCGTTACGAGATACAAACAGCGATTTACTTGCATGTAATTTCAATAAATAACATTGATACTTTTCCAGGGCTTCTCCGGTCAAAAACACGTAAACATTGTGCAAATGTAGACTGTAACAATATTAAAACGTAATAATATATTCGGCAGCATTTTTCAAATAACCTATGCAGAGTGGGGTTGTGTGGATCTGGAGAATGTATTTGCTTCAATCGGCTGCTTCTAAGTTTAGCTTAATGGATGTCCGTTTCAGTCGTATGACCGTAAATTCTACACTTCCAGATTAATCGCAATCACGGGGGAACTTGTCCTGCTATTCTGTTTCTCGCCAGAAATACCCGGAGCATGCCATCTACAAGGTGCTGCACCTGATGCTGCGGCGTGGAGAGCTGCAGCACAGGGTGCAGCGCAAGGTCCTGTACCGCGTCAAGTGAGCCTGCGCCCGCATCCCCCCCCCCCACCGCTACGCACGTGCCTGTGTCTCACACCACGTGCTGGTCATGGAAAGCGGAGGACAAATGGTCATTGAGCTCGTGGTTAAATCCACGGGCTTGCATGACGATTTTTTGATGAAAGTGGATTCTTGCGCGCGTCGAATTGTGCGTAGCTTACGGTTGACACGCGCATTGTATGCGATTGTTGCAGATAGCCTAATGGGACCAACAACAAAATGAACCGATATCTGTGTATGAGATCGTACGGATGGGGAAAAAAAATAATCGGTATAATCAAATCTTGAATCGAGGTAGGTTATTGAACCAAGAGGAAGTGTGGTGAATCATTAAGTGCCTGCTAACCCAATTTTCCAATAATTGACAGTCTCCTGTCTCGTTAAAGTACAACATGACATTAGTCTTCAGAAGTAAAATCCCACTCTGGGACCCAGTCAGTGATCATGCAGAGCCCAGGGCTTTCGTTGTCAATTTGTCTGCGAGTGCAATTCCCATCGCTTGCTTTGATGTCTTTCTAAAGTAGTAGTACTGCATTTGTTTTTTTTTCCATTTTGTCTTGTGCTTTGTACTGCATATGGTTTAACTCAATAAAGTGTTCATTACAGAACTCGGTTGTTTGAAGTGTTGGTGTTTATTTTTCCCTACAAGCAGCCCTGGTGTCAAACCTTGCGGGTGGGTGGGGGGCACATTTTGGTGAATGTAATTTCTGTAGGGCACCTGAATATTAACTACAATGCTTGAGCGCATACCGTATCGCTACAAATCACGTGCAGGTAGTTTAGTTTTAATTCCCATTGATGTGCACATTGCCCTGTGTACAAAGTCCCTCAGTTGTATTGCGGCGTGCTGGCACGCGGCGACAAGCGGGTTACATAATCGTGGCACAGGGCGAGCTTGGGCACAAGCAGGGGTCTGAAGAACCCGCCATGATGCCACCATCGCCACGCCTGGACGCGACGGAGCAGCGCAGGATCAGTTGACGTTCCTCTGCACGGGGTGGCTGGGCGAAGAGGTTGCTCCCTGCAGGAAGCGAGACTCCTTGTCGATCCACCTAGTGGCACAAGGTGAAATCGTGAACACACACTGAGCTCTGAGGGGACAGAAAATCCAGTGCACTGTAATTTGACGTCAACATCACGTGGGCAGAAAAACTGCCTGGGTTTTGTTTTATACTTAATGCCACCAAGTTCATCACCTCCCGCCCAGCGGCATGTGGGAATGGGTGAGACTTTTCACACTGCTTTTGTATTTTCTGATTCGTCGAGTAACATAACCGACGGCCGTCATGCCGGTCATTTACTTCCGACGGCGGGACATCCCAGCCCTACGGGGGCGAGGTTCGTGCACGGCCGGCGCAGGAGCCCGTCGAGCGGCTCACTGCAAGAGGATGAGCATGATGACGGCGAGCCCTCCCAGCAGGATGAAGCAGAAGCCGGGGAAGTGGGGCAGCGTGGCCGGGTAGAGCGCGTTCAGCACGGACGAGGTGACGAGCATGAACGCCGTCTCCAGGGACGCGAACGCCGAGAACACGGCTCCTGAGCGCGCCGCCGGCAGTGAGACACGGTTGTCAACGTCGCCAAGCGATAATCGTCGGAAGTAATCGTCATCGTTCCGACATGACGGCGATCACCGACGAGTGCAGTTGTCATTGTCAATAAGCTCTTGTCAGTCACTCGTGGATTAAAAAAAATTGCAGGAGAACCCTGAAAAAAAGCCTTGATAATCGGCGAGGCTTTTCTGGCTAAACAAGCATCATGTAATAATATGGATTAATGGTAGACCCCATGCGACTGGCAATTATTCAACGCTTATCACACGGAAATATAATTATAATAAGCAATTACTGTAAAGCTATCGTACCCTATATTCTTAGTTTTTTCGGTAAAGTCACGTTGAAGAGAAACAACAAAATAACAAAATATATATAAAACAATAAAAAATTCTCACGACGTTTCGACCATAACTCAAACGGTCATCATCAGGTGTGTCGGTTTGCATAAATTTATTTTGTTATTTTGTTGTTTCTCTTCAACGTGACTTTACCGAAAAAACTAAGAATATGAATTACTGCAGTCACGAAAGCTTTAAATCAAAATCTATCGTACCCTGTTCTGATCTGGTGGCCAGCCTTGATGTCTGTGCCCGTATCATGGCACCAGGGATGCCAGACACACTGGCCAGCCCACCCGCTGCAAAGAAAAACGTACAACGGGGGTGAACAATAAGTACGAAGTTGTTGGAGAATATATTAGCAACAATTTTGGCTTTAATCGTTTCTGACAATTCTGTTCATTGGCATTGCACTCGCAACTTTCTGCATTGTTATGTCCCTCTGCACATCTTAAATACAGTCTGAGTGAAGTTTCACTCTTAAAATCGGAGTTACTAAAAATCTAAATTTGCCATTTCATTGCTCCTCATAAGGTTCATGCACAGCGAACAGTTGACTCGGAGCAAGCCAAGAATAAATTAATTTCTGGGAGCATACACGCGATGTTTGCCAAGTGCATCTGAGGTCTCCTCGCAGGTTATTTTATGCTCCGATAGGGCAGCAAAAACGGTTTATGCGAATGCTGTCGCAATAGACCACTCATTGGGCGCAACTGTCCTTGGCCGACTATGTGCTATGAATTAATTAACTGCGAGATGATGCGTACTCGGAGTGTTAAAATTGTAAAGGTGCAGCCCTGCAATTGCTTGCTTATGCCACTGCTTGGCGGAAAGGCCTCCAATAGATGGCGCTATAGAGATCCCCTTGTGTATTATATTTTGGCCGCGTCTTCCTTGCTCGGAACAGGTAGGAGGAGACATTTTACCCCAACACAAGTGACTTGTTGATTAACTGTTTTCCCCGTTTATACTGCTGCCTAGAGATCTAAGAATCGATATTGATTTAGATTTTTAAGCTGATACACTTAAATATTGTAAGAATCAGTTTAACACTGGGCAGCAAAGGGCAGTCCAGCAAAATCCTCTGTTGTACTGGACTTCTATGCTCCTACACATCTATGCTCTTTGCCTTCAACAACCTGCACTGACTGGCATGGTGAAGTATGGTCAAATAACTCGCATGCCCCACAGGGAAAGAGGAAGCCTTTATCCAGCAGAGGACTTACAAATAATTATACGTGTACGGTACATTGACACATTTTTTATGTCATGGGTTCATGTCACCCACAAGAAGGGCCATCACTCACTGCAATGTAATGTTTCCATCAAATCACCACCCAGAATCGCAACATTTCATCAAATTGCCAGGGGCAGTGAACTGTTCTACCTATAATATACATACGCACTTGTTTTATGTACAGGCCTTTTTTAAATCGACTGCTGAATGAAGGCCTCCCCATGTCATGTCGGTCGTGGGGGGTGTTTGGCCGAGCCCACTTGTCAGTCCGTAAACTGGGCCAGGACATTTCAGAGTGGCTGTGGGAACACCGCCGATTCTGGGTCCCTATCCTCAGACCCACCAAGGCACCCCTGATGAGCGCGGTTGGCGACGTACGGTACTAAATAAGTTCAATATACAGCCAAGGCACCGATTCCCTCTCATATCACTCGTACGTTTGGCACTTGCGCCATTCATATCTCGCAAGGTGACGACGGGGGCGCCCCTTTCACGACTGAGTCTAGCCTGCAGTGGCACAGTCTCTTCGTGGTAGCGGCTCACCGAGGAAGACCATCCAGGGAGCGGAGGCACAGGCCATGAGGCCAAATGATATGACCCGGATCAGCATGGCCCCCTTGGCAAGGGTGAAGCCGCGAGCCAGCTTCAACAACAGCGGAAAGAGCACCAGTAGACACATACCCTGCTCGCCACACACACGCATGCGCAGACAGGCATAGACCCCCCCAGTTATTCTGAGGTCCCATGATGTCAGCTGTCTCTGGTGTGGACCAATCAGTTTCAAAGACAATGCATACACTACCAGAGCATGTTTGTTGTTGCATGTTCTACACAAGTATGATGTGGTTAATGCAGACATGATTCCTTGCATAAGGTTTCAGTTTGGTGTTTTAACATCTTAACACCTGTTTTATTGTCAGAAAGGGTAAAACCCATTCTTATAATATAGATCACTGTCAGTGCCTGTTGAGGCAGGCACACAGCACAGGTGACAGTGCAGGCGGTAAAGATCTAACGATCTCCCTCTCCTCCCACGTGAATGCTGATCAATGCCACTTTCTACAAGTATGTCCAAGTATAGATATTATATACTGTGTGTACTACGGATGCAATGCTTTAGAAGGTAAGGGAGGTGAGACTTTGATTATTTTGCGACGTGGAGAGAAGAGACGAAGAGGATGCAACGAGAAGGGCCGTGGAGATGTCAGCGGTGCAAGGCAGAAGGAGCAGAGGGGGACCGGGGGTGAGATGACAGTGAAAACGCTAATTTGACGAAAGCATCCTCATACTCTTTTATGGGGAGAAATAATATCTTAAAAGTTGAGTCAGTGACTAAGTGAACATGTGATAAGCAGTTACCACAGCGATCCTGTGTTCAACTCCATACATCAGATCACATTTACAAGTACAGCAAGTGAAATCCCATTTATCAGTGACAGCACAATAAATTGTCGTACGTGTGCATTTTTATTACTTAAGCTTTGCCCCTGCTTTCAGGCTTGAAATGGAAACCTGTTTTGAACTGACACCATTATTTATAGAGCATGAAGGAACACAATGAGAGTGGCATGTTGAGGCGACTCCAAAAGTAGTTCTGTAGTGCGATGTTCAGGAGCCAAATTTGACATGACACGAATTACTGCTGGCTGGGGGAATTCCAGATAAGCGTTGCCACCTGTCCAAGATTGATCGTCCGAGTTTGACCTGGACGGTCCGGGTATTTGCATCTGTGTTCGGGTGGCAGGAATTTATTTGAACCGAGATCTGGTGGTATTCTTTTGAACTTCATCAAAACTATACTCGACAGTTTTGATAGGCATAGGCTGGCTGAATGTCCAGGTTTGGTCTGTGGCAAGTGTAGTAAGCCATATTCCAGAGGACTGTTTTCATTTGTTTGCATGACACTGCTGGAATAGCCCAATTGGAACGCCCGACCCAACTTACCACCAGGAATGTCCTGCCCCCACTGAAGTAGCCGTATTGCTCGTTAGTGAAGTGAAGTGGTGGGTACTGCAGGAACATCACGAGGATCTGCGAGTCGCCTGTAACAAACCACAAAGACAAAAATCTCCCATATAGCCTGAGCAGAATGTTGGGGCAAATGCTGTTAGCGAGCATCTATGAAGTCCGGTACGGCATACGAGGGGGGGGTGGGTGGCCAGCACCACGCTCGGTCGCCTTTATCTCCCCAGTGGCGATGTTTACACATCGCACCAAGTACTCGTTTGAGGCCGAGTCGACCTAGAGGAGGCCCAAGACCGGTTCAGATAAGCGGCACTTGTGTTGGCCGTGAGCGGGAATTGAACTCGGGTCACTAGGTTCGCAGAGCGGCGCGCTAACCGCGACACCAACGCTCCCCACTGCAACAAACCACTCGGACACACACACACGCGCAACAGCGCTGCTTTATGAGGTGCACAGTTCTGAAGTACTCACGAACAGTCCTGCGCAATTACAAAATTCCTCTTACAATGTTGATGTAGATTATTACAATCTGCAACTACGTAATTTTCAGAGCGGGTGATTATCCTTTTACGTGTTACGACAAAGTGGGATTCAAATGACATAATGTTGTTGCAGTCAGCTGGGTAACCGTAGGCTTCATCATCATCAGCCATGATCTATCAACTGCTGGATTTAGGCATCCCATTTGTATGTACGTTGAACTTCTTTAGCACCGTACGTAGCCAACCGTGCTAATCGAAGGTGCGGATACACACGTGGGGGGCACAACGGGAGGCAATCTCTCGGTGCTTTCGCGTCAGGAGGAGGGCGCTTCGAGACGCACCGACAATGCAGGCCATGTTGAGCAGGCTCACTGCCAGCAACAGCAACATGACGAGCCTGCCACGCTCGCCCCGCTTGCGGAACACCACCTTCCAGGTGGTCAACCCATCCAGACAGCTCATGGGCGGCACAGTCGCGCGCACGCCCGTATCCTCCGACTGCAAGGCGAGGTTACACACACACAAAAAAACACAACATCGCAAGCGTGAGGCTGCTTCACGAGACAGTGGAACGCACACATCGCGAGTGCACTATTGGCGCCGTTCCTATGGCTGCAGGGTTCTCGCGAAGGGAGAGGCACTTTTAAAAAGACGCGTGCGGTATGGTCTGCAGTGGTGTCGCGATAGGGGGCGATGTTGCTGTGCGATTTTGCCCAAAGATGTAAGCTGCAGTTGGTTTTCAAAGTTTGCAAACTTGGACCAGAATAACGTCTCGGGATCTTTAATGTTCCGCTGTGAAGCAGGCGGCGAGTATTTGTGGTTGGTGTACCTGCAGTATTAACTCGGGCGGCTACTGGGTTCGAATCACGAACCTCTGCTCTACATCAACACCAGCCATACGACGAAGAGGAACTTCTGCAACAAACGTCAAATGCGCTACCGCTCGGCCATGCCATCGCCGTAGTTGCATAATCGAGCTGCTGCCCAACACCATCTCACTTTCACAGACATGAAAAGCTGTATTTGTACAGCCCTTTTGCCAATCCAATACTGGATAAGGGCCTCCCCACGCCAGTCGCAGAGTTTACTTGACCATACTTCACGACACTGGTCAGTAACAATGGGTGAAGGTAAAGACCCGGACCGGTTCAGATATCACTCACCGCTGATATTAACCATGGCTAACATAGGCACCTCTGATTTGCAAAGTTGGCTATGTATGGTGCGAAAGAAGTTCAACATACACACATACATGACTGGGAATTTAACTTAGGTGACTGGGTTCATAGTGCAGTGCATCTTCTAGAGTATGTTTATAACATCAAGGTCAAACATTTTAAAGACCTGGTCATGGTCAACGCAGCCAAATATCCTTCTCAGGTCAACACAACATGTATCAGCGAATGAGAAGTCAAAAGCGGATATATCAATGGAGCGAATGGCCACGGCCTGAGTAATGTGCATTATCTGCCGAGTAGGCTTGCGTACTGTGGATTTAGGGGTTGATAAGCAGTACTCATCGTAGAGCACCAGCCTCACGACTGCCAGTGCCCACGAGCACCGGGCAGTGCTCACTTGGGGAACAAGCCGTGCGTATTTATTTTACGCAGTGGGAGATGGGAAGACGGGTCGGCGTGAGATAAGTTGAGGTGCTCGCTGCTCAATGTAAACAAGCGGACAACAACGTTTCCTGCACATCTATCCACGTACAAAAATATAAATGAATCAACTTCTTACACAACTGCATGGACCTTCTGGAGAGTGCAAAATTTCCGCAGCATTGCTTCAGGGCGTTTTTGACGTCCAGTGTCACATCATCGGGCAGAGTCGGGCTCGCCCGAATAAACCCCCGGTGCTAGCTGCTCGCACCTCCTCGGAGCAGATGGGCTGGCGCTCGTCCTCGTTGCTGCGCTGCTCGGCGGGCGATGCGATGCACAGCAGCGCGTAGAGCGTCGCCAGCAGGTTGCACGCGAGTTGGATGGAGAAGACGCCGAGGAATCCCATGTGGGCGACCGCGGCCCCCTCCACCAGGCCCCCGACCGTGCCGCCCATGAAGATCATGGCCTCGAGCACGCCCATTCGGCACGGGCGTTCGTCAGGCGACGTCACTGTGGCCAGGTAGCTCATCACACTGCGCGCCGGCGAGCGAGCAAAAAAAGCGCATGACTGGGGTTGCCACCTCGGGAGGTGGAAAACATCCGGGACAAACTGTGGTAATATTCTCGCAATACCGGAGGAGGCGGAGAGCTCCATTTGAATGTGGTGTCTTGAGTGGAGAATAATTATTATTATTATGACGACTCTGCTGACAAAACCCAGCGACTTTTACTGTTCCCTGGAAAAATGTATAGCTTTCCCAGGACAGCAGCTGCCTCAAAAAAAATAATGATCCCAGGAAAACCAGGAGAGGTGGCGACCCTACATATTACGCAATAAGACGCGAAATTTGTATCGTACAATAAACGGTATTGAAGTCCAAAGGGGTGATTTTTACACAAAATGCACATGCACTCGCAAAGGCGCAAAGCTATGGGTAACATTTTGCCATAGCCTCATTAAGAATTATGCTTTCCTTTATATCACCCTCCGATTTCAGTGTAAGGGTAAAAATAAAGCTGGGTAGGACTTCAACAGAGTTTCCATGAATACATATTTAATACAGAGAACAATTTGCCAAATATCAGGAAATACGGCAGACAATACTGCGAAACAATGCAACACAACAGAGTAAGATGTCGTGAAATGTAATCAACAGACATCAAAGTTATAGTGATCGTGCTGTCAAGTGCCGAATGTCACGCTCGGCCATGATGAATTCTGGGCTTAGGGCCGAGTTATGCCCATAGCCAGCGGGAGGATTTGAGACTGATATCTACCAACCTGTCCAGTGTATGTGGCAAATATATTAGAGACATGAAGGTAACTTCATTGTGTCTCCCTGTTCATCTCTGTCGATGGCACTGAGCCGGCGGTGAAAATGTATTTTTTACCACGGCAGGATTACAGACTCGATAGCAGGACTACTTAATGTCCCGACAGAGTGGTAATTATTTCACTGACCATGTCGGAATTACAGACCGAGTCAACGCCTGACCAGGATCTGAACATTTTTCTCAATGCGCGTCAAAACCTAGCAAACCACGTTTTTTTTTCCAGATGAGTCTTATAAGGGTGTATATACACACACACACACACTCTCAATATGCACAGGCGTGCTTTGCCATGAAGCCCAGTCGGCTGAAACGTAAATTATTTCCTTTCCCTCCCAAAAAAAAATATATGGTGATTAAAGTTTAATTTTGTGAACGTATGTGACGTTGGGGAAGCAGCAAAATGTGTTTGCCAGAGGCTGCTCTCGTGCAATGAATACATGATAAACGAGTGAACTTATTGCTTCATTTCAGAGCTGACAGGCATCTATCTTTGGGATATAACGTGTTTCTTGCATGGAATACCTACCTGGGAATATTGCAGAATAAAAACGAAATCAACGAATTCAATCAGTTATATAGTTACATTGCACAGTTTATATTTTGATTTTTTTTCCTTCTTCTTTCGTACGGCTGACGTAGACGCAGAGCAGCAACTACAATTTCACATTCAGGTGGTCAAGCCAAACAACCACTTCAGGAGCAGCGGAGCCCTGTAACGCCACGATGTCTCCTTCGTATTTGTGGATGGAGTATTGCGTCGTTTTGCGCTGTATGGTCTGTTCTGGATAACCACAGTCGCACACTGGAGAGTTTTTAATTTTCCATTTGTGCATCAGTTATCCGCATCTGCCATGGTTTGTGCAGTGGGATGCGGCTTAGGGTGGACCATGAGCTTCGTATATATTCTGGCAGTACAACCTAAAAAAAGGGTGGAGTGGTAGCTCAGCGGTTAGCGCACTGCTCTATGAACCCGGCCACCCGAGTTCACTTTCCAGTTACGGCTAACATCAGTGCCAAGTGATACACAGTCCTGCGCACCCCCTTCGCCAAATCGTACTGATCAGCGTGAAGTATAATCAAACAAGCCCTACGACCAACACGAAATGGAGACACCTTCATTCAGCAGAGGACATACATAGGGGTGTTAACAATGTGTATTTAAAAAAAATATCAAATGTGTAAATGACAATAAATGCCATCACGACAGAAAAAAATATAATGCGAGATGGAACTTTTTTTAATTTAATAACACACACAGGGGTGTCCGGCATTGCACGCACAAACGCCTTATTTCTCAACTGTGTGAGACTGGTGGTCTCAACAACAAAAAATGGCCACACATTCAGTTTCCTTTCAGCTGGTGGTTTGGATAAGGTTGAGAGCTTTTGTAAATGTAATGCAACGCACTGTGTGTTGTTAAATAATTATTACAACCGACAATAAAACATATTCACACGTGTAGTCTATTTGATGGCTTCACTATCCAATAGAGCGTTTTGTTGAATGCGTATTAAATCACAAATCTGACGGAGTGAGCTGTCCACGGTGCCGGATATTCCCGGAGGGGGCAACGCACACTGATCTGGCCGCGAGACAAGCTGTCAAGGATCCAAATGCTCCTGCGATTGTTCGCCTGGCTTGAAATTCCACAGGGATCAGACACATAACCTTCCAAATTTTTTTTACAAATTAATATTTCATGATAATAAATATTACATGCATCCATTTGATGTACAAACAGAATGTTGGGCTGGCTATTAACAAAAAATATATACTCTTAACAGAAATTGTGGCAGTATTGTATGTATGCCAACCGTGCTAATTATAGGGGCGGAAGTATTGCAAATATGTTAACACAACTATATTTACAGAGTTCACTACATATAGATAAGGTGATACAGTATATATACTAAGCACCTCCAATGAGCATGGTTGGCTATGTACGGTATGAAATAAATTATACAAACATACATACAATTATTAATTTACAGCTCTTTGTCAATCCACTATTGAGTGAAGGCCTCCTACACTATATTGGCCAGGGTGTTTTTGTTTATCATACTGCTACTCCATCATTATCCTTGAGCATCGGACATCATCCCTTTCAGCGACGTGTCTTGCCCAAACCAAATTAAGTGAAACGCAAATTTCCATGATGGAGTTTTTGTTGTGTGCAGGCATCGATGGCCAAGCATGGACCATCAAACTGACGACTTGGGAGTCGGTGCTACGAAATGGCCACCACGTGCCTCTCTGGAGCTATGAGCCCACTCCAGACAACCCTCACCGAGCTTTCAAGCGTGAGAACGCACAATCGCTGAACGTGTCGCCAAGGCGATATTTTCAGCAGCAAGAGCGTTTCCCACCTTCCTTATCTTCACCCATAAATCGTCTCAAACAGTGCACTGTCGTTATCGTTTGTGGAGCTTGTTGGCCTGGGTGCACAGACAACACACGCGGGGAGTGTTGCTGTCCACGCCGGCCCATCTATCTGCCCCCTTCCTACTTTTATGAACATTTTGAAAAATGTCTTTACACGTTCCTCTTTTCTGTCTCTCAACATAAGTGTACGTACCATTTTAAATGCAACGATCGTGCATTTCAAATCGTACTTACGTCCCCAAAAGTGGTACGCGTGCGCAGCGTACCTTAGCAAAATGGTGACATAACCCCCCAAGGCAGAGGCGATGCAGGAGGCGGCCAACGTCCAGTAGACGGAGAGCTCGGGGGAGGAGGACACCACCATCAACAAGGCGGAGGCCATCGCGGCCCCGAAGCACGGCAGGGTCATTGCGAGGCGTCTCATGCACGCAGAGCGATCCGACCAGGTCCCGAGCAGCGAGGCGGTAATCATGGCTGGGATGTTTGTGGCGAGCGACTGCAGCAGGAAGAGCGTGGAGGCGCCCGTCTGCACCACCCTGGCCTGGTCGCCCTCCAGCGGCGACACGCATGCCTCCGTCGTGCCGTACGTCTCCCAGCACACCTGCCGGGGCACGCGTGACATCGCGGTGATGAACATGCCGACAATGGACAGAATTAAGGCAGCGGCCATCGCCGGTAAACAGTGCTGACAGTGTCATCACACGTGGGTCCAGAATGATAACACCAACTGCAATTGCAAGTACGGCCATTCTTTGTTAACCCGCTGCTGAATGGGGACCCACATACGCCGTGCGTTTCGTATGCGGTGTGTGACCATACGTCGCTGAGTTGGTCAGTGCTGGTTATGACGGTGGGCAAATTTAAGTACAGTAGAATAATGTGTTTTTCTGCACTGTTAACAATGTAGCCCTGCACTACTCCACAACAGCTGTTTTATGGTTGCCCATCAGGGCATTATCCAGACTCAACCCAGCTTAGTTTACAAGATCTGACGAGATCAGGTTCATTCTGGGTGACTTGGTCACCTTTATTGGGTATGACTTGATCGTGACTTTTTGGTGATCTATGTTACTGAGTTGGCAATTGCTGTAGCTTTTATCCTGCTGGAAAATGTGTTCTCTATTCAAGTATAATTTTGACAAATCAATTCGAAGGATAAAAAAAAACCTCTGAAAAGAGTACAAGGTTGGAATAATAGTTCAACCTTAGATTCTTCCAAATGAATACCTTTAGGATGTTCTACATAATACAAATATTTAGTTTCAGTCTGTAGCTGGAGTCATTTCTTATGCTTCAATTGGAAACCCTGTTTATATTTACATCAAACTCGTATGAAGCAAAATAAATAAGCAGTTCAATATCATGGTTGAAAATGTAATTATGATATACATTTTATGAAAGGATGCTAACTTGTCATGACAATAAAACATATATAAGTTGCATTAAACCTTTATATAAATAACTACAGTGAGGGAAAAAAGTATTTGATCCCCTGCTGATTTTGTACGTTTGCCCACTCACAAAGAAATGATCAGTCTATAATTTCAATGGTAGGTTTATTTGAACAGTGAGAGGCAGAATAACAACAAATCCAGAGAAACGCATATCAAAAATGTTATAAATTGATTTTCATTTTAATGAGGGAAATAAGTATTGGACCCCCTCTCAATCAGAAAGATTTCTGGCTCCCAGGTGTCTTTTATACAGGTAACGAGCTGAGATTAGGAGCACACTCTTAAAGGGAGTGCTCCTAATCTCAGCTTGTTACCTGTATAAAAGACACCTGTCCACAGAAGCAATCAATCAATCAGATTCCATACTCTCCACCATGGCCAAGACAAAAGAGCTCTCCAAGGACGTCAGGGACAAGATTGTAGACCTACACAACGCTGGAATGGGCTACAAGACCATTGCCAAGCAGCTTGGTGAGAAGGTGACAACAGATGATGCGAGTATTCGCAAATGGAAGAAACATAAAAGAACTGTCAATCTCCCTCGGCCTGGGGCTCCATGCAAGATCTCACCTCGTGGAGTTGCAATGATCATGAGAACGGTGAGGAATCAGTTCAGAACTAGATGGGAGGATCTTGTCAATGATCGCAAGGCAGCTGGGACCATAGTCACCAATAAAACAATTGGTAACACACTACGCCGTGAAGGACTGAAATCCTGCAGCACCCACAATGTCCCCCTGCTCAAGAAAGCACATATACATTCCCGTCTGAAGTTTGCCAATGACCATCTGAATGGTTCAGAGGACAACTGGGTGAAAGTGTTGTGGTCAGATGAGACCAAAATGGAGCTCTTTGGCATCAACTCAACTCGCCGTGTTTGGAGAAGGAGGAATGCTGCCTATGACCCCAAGAACACCATCCCCACCGTCAAACATGGAGGTGGAAGCATTATGCTTTGGGGGTGTTTTTCTGCTAAGGGGACGACAGGACAACTTCACCGCATCAAAGGGACGATGGACGGGACCATGTACCGTCAAATCTTGAGTGAGAACCTCCTTCCCTCAGCCAAGGCATTGAAAATGGGTCGTGGATGGGTATTCCAGCATGACAATGACCCAAAACACACGGCCAAGGCAACAAAGGAGTGGCTCAAGAAGAAGCACATAAAGGTCCTGGAGTGGCCTAGCCAGTCTCCAGACCTTAATCCCATAGAAAATCTGTGGAGGGAGCTGAAGGTTCAAGTTGCCAAACGTCAGCCTCGAAACCTTAATGACTTGGAGAAGATCTGCAAAGAGGAGTGAGACAAAATCCCTCCTGAGATGTGTGCAAACCTGGTGGCCAACTACAAGAAACGTCTGACCTCTGTGATTGCCAACAAGGGTTGTGCCACCAAGTACTAAGTAATGTTGTGTAGAGGGGTCAAATGCTTATTTGCCTCATTAAAATGCAAATCAATTTATAACATTTTTGACATGAGTTTTTCTTTATTTTGTTGTTTTATTCTGTCTCTCACTGTTCAAATAAACCTACCATTAAAATTATAGACTGATCATTTCTTTGTCAGTGGGCAAACGTACAAAATCAGCAGGGGATCCAATACTTTTTTCCCTCACTGTATGCTAGGGCATCTTAAAATAAGCATGATTCACTTTCATTATTTTTCACACATTACTGCATTCGACCACTGAATCAGAATATTTCTCCAGATGCAATTCACCCAGTGAGCTATACAGGAACAAACACACGGATTCGCTTTAATTCAGGCCTCTGCTTTTTCATCCAATCCAAATCGTTTGATGCACACACTTAACCGGACACGCATTGTAATGAATGCCGGTACCACCAGATTACGTCAACTAAGGAAATGAATTTCAAAAGAATGCAATTGCAGTGGCACAGAACAGTGTTGTTCTTATGCAAATTTTCTATGAGCCAAGTGATTAAAGTTCAATTCCCGGTCACGGCTGATGCCAGTGGCAGGTCCTTAGCTTGGCTGTAAATTATTAACGCTAATGTTACATGAGCTGTGCATATTCTAAATTAATGAATACACAAGTATGCATTCATATACAATATGCAGAATACACATTGGCTCTGTTATTCGCACGGGAATCCCCACCTGGCAGTTGCCTATAAAAGCACGATTTCCCACAATAGCAACCCACTGTAACAACCAAAATTAATTATGGCTCTTTATTCAATTACACTTCTCCCACGGCTCTATTCACACACACACACCTGCAGGCGAACTGGGAGCTCACATTCCCGATTGCGTGCGTATCCACAGCGGGGCTTTACTGCTGACAGGGTCAGACAGTGTGAGTCATGCCAGCCCCTCTAGGGCTTACCTGTGTGTATAATCATGTATTGCGGCTGCTGCATTAGCAGCAGCAGCTCTGCACACGTGTGTGAAAGGTAATTTCGTGGAAGTGAACGGCATGGAACCTGCAAACCCTTTGCATGAGAAATGCAACACGTGCCTTTTGCAGGATGATCTGCTGTGTGGCGGGGGCCTGGATGAAGAGGGCGGTCATGTAGAGGAAGAGCAGCGGCTCTACTGTGATGACCCGGGCCCATGAGGGCGCCATAGCTCCACCCACGTGTCTGCACGCACACACACACACACCAAGGCAAAGACCCCAGCATAGCATTAATAGAATGTTGGGGCAAGTGCTGTTAGCGAGCTCCTATTATAGCCGGCATGGCACACGAGGGAGTAGATGGCCAGCACCATGCCCAGCTGCATTTGTGTCCCCCGTGTCGATGTTTACACACAGTACTGGGATCTCATTCACTGCTGAGTCAACCTAAGGGAGACCCAGGACCGGTTCATATTATTCGTCACCAATGATCGGGTCGCCGGGTTTGTAACACAGTGTGCTAACCACGACGCCTGCACACATACAGAGACAACTCTACAGATTACCCTTCTCATTCAATGCCAGCTCACTAGGCATGCTGTAATATTTGGATCACGCTAACGAATCGTGCATTAATACATTATTCACGATTCATGCAAATTGTATGCAATCGTTACCTTGAGGCTAATGGAATCATAAATATAGGATGCCCTCGTGTATGACAGCCAGACAATGGAAATGAGACAGGCCGAGACTAAATATTATTCTCGGATCGCATTGTGGCCTCAAACTTTGGTATTTTTCACTGGAAAATCATCAAATTATTGGAAGCAGGGGGGGGGGGGGGGTCGTCACACGGCAATTATGAGCATCATTCTCTCTCTGTCACTCCGACACATACCCACTCTATTCATTAAAATCCACTCCAAAACATCCAGCGTTCAATGTACAACTGTAATAAAATGCTGAACAATTCACCGCTTTGCTCAAGCGATTCGATTAATTGTCATGAACTGCTTTCACAGTCCGAGTCAAGAGTTCACGATTGTTGTGTCCTTATTTCACCGTCCGCCTCGTCTCGACCGCCTTTCTCATCTGCATTGCCTCATCCGCCGTCTCCTCTGCCCTGTTTGTATCGTCCTGTCTGTTCTGTCCAACATGCACTGTCTTGTCTCATCTGTTGTGTGTGACTACAGTGGTTTGTTCCTGTCTCGTTACCAGGAATAAATGTTTCAAATTTTGCATAAACCGGAAACAAATCGATCCTTTCTCACACCATTTCGTGCATGTATCCTGCGTGTGAGAATGCATTTTAATCCGTTCAGCAGAGTTAGCTACGCACGGTGCAAAAAAAATTCAACAAACGATGTTTATCGTGAATGCTTTAGATACCTTTTGATTTATACACGGCCGTTCAAGAGTATTTGCTTCGCCTGTGATTAATAACGTATGTCAATCGAGCAATAAGATACATTGCATGAATAGCATGAATGTAAATACTGTAACATTCATCAAATGTGTGAGTGATGAGAACACACCCATCATCACCGTGATGCTTTTCAGCTGCATCGTGATGATTGAGGTGCATTGCCATGGTTGCCAAAGAATCCAAATGTTGTAGCATTTGTGGTTTCAAAGATGCGTACATTTTCACTTCAATTATTTAATCCGTTTCAGATATTGCACGCCTCTATGGTGTATATATTAATTGTGCCTTGAGACTAACGCCTGTGAATTGTGCTTATTAGACAAAACAACGCCAATACATGCTAAAGTCCCTCGTTCATGGTAAAGCTGAGCTGATGTACATTTAATGCCAGTCTTTACGTGCCTCAATATTAACCACCTGATGACTCAGAATCCATGCAATGGCTTAGAGGTGTATTTATTACACCCTTGCCCCATGCTATTATTGCGATTCAAGGTTTTGATATTCAGGAATCAGTGACTCTGCTTGTATTAACATGGAGCGAATGCAGCGGCCGCTGGATGGCTGCAGTGGTCGTGTGAATGTTTAACATGCAACATAGGTGCATACAATCACGATTCAGTGCATAAATGGTGAACTTGTGAATCAACATTAATCAAGTAATCGAGGCATTATTACACCCCGAATAATAACCATACAAACATACAAGCTTCGTAACGAAAGTGAATGCAGTCGAGGTTTATTTGAAGACTACAAATATGCAGATGCCATTTCTTTCCTCAGCCCTATTAGCTTTCTCATGCCACTGCTGGCTTAGAAGCCTCCCCACTATAGAGAGCCCCTCTCGAGGGTATTTGGCCTACTCTTCCACGCTGGTCAGACGTCTTAGAAGAGGGGAGAGTACACCCACACGTCACCCCCATCATACGCGACCTGCCGATCGACTGCGGTGTAGTCATGTATGATAGTGCTCCCTCGTTATGGAGATGCTCGTGAACAGCAAACTTGGCGGGCAATGATATTGGCCTGCGAACATTGTACGCGCAACGTCTAAAGATGCTTCTAAAGCTTCGAGACGTCATTTCTCTCGTCGCTTTATCTCTCATTACTTTTTGGCATCACATTACCTCTCATTACTGAATCTCATCACTTGATCTTATCACTTAATTCAACACTTTCTCAGATCACATTCTCTCTCATCACTTTTATCTCATCACTTCCTTCCTCTCTCTCTCTCCCTCTCGATGCAATCGTGTAGCCAAAACGGCGGATAGCAAGTTCGTGAATAACGATGGAATACTATTCTGCTGGGTGTCAAAGGCGCGTGGTGGGGGGGGGGGGGGGATTTAATAATCTCGCACCAATGTTCCAACTGCCGTGCCGGGAGATCGGATTGAACCGGCAACCTCTGGATTGCAGGTCCAATGCACTAACCACTGGAACACGACAGCACCCCCACCCCTGTGTACACAACGAATATTTAGACATTAGTACCTGCTCAAATTGGAGAAGTTTCAGACATCCCAGCACACCTCTGCTAAAGTCCACTCGGCAGTGCAGGCAAGCGCTGTGTCGTCCGTATATGAAATTGGAATTCAATACGGTGTATACGCCACCCTATATAAGGAGTAATTGTACAACGTGCACGAGATGAGGGAGGCAACAGGAAAGCGCCCAAACTCTATTGTTAAGCCACAACTATACACTTACACTTGTACGTATGTTGAACTTCTTTCGCACCATACATAGTATAGTATGTAGAGCTTCTTTCGCGCCGTACGTAGCCAACCGTACTAATCAGAGGTGCCGGGGAAGGGCAGCAAACGAAACACAAAAAGCTGTTCTAAAGAAATGAGGTTTCAATATAGATTTACAAGTGCACAGCTCCAGTGCATATAGCTCCACTTGAGTTATGACTCAAGAACACTGGTCTGGTGCTCAGCATGTTGTTTGTGAGGCTGTGGAGTGGTCGTGGTGGATGGAGGGAGCTTGAGCCATGGACCTGCCCTCGTGTGGAGAACTCCACTTGAAACTGTACAAGAAGCACAGCCTGTAAAGTACTGCAGTTCCCAATCACAATTGCACTACACCACGGCTCACAGTTGCAACACTACAGGCGTTTGGTTTGGCTGAGAACTTTTAAACACTGCTTGAGCTGTCATGCATCACATGAGCTTGCAACTTCGCAGGAAGTGGTATGATTTTTTTTGCTACTGTTGTTGTTCGAGTGTCACATGCATCATCGCACCTCCGATTAGCAAGGTTGGCTACGTACGGTGCGGAAAAAAAGTTCAACACACAGTACATATATTTTTAGCTACATCCTTATAGCTAGACTAAAAAAAACACGTGGTAGAGAGGTAGAATGTTACAGGCCAGAAAGGGATTTGAGACGATGTTATGGTAGACGTGCGAATGAAGACACTTGATAGACACAGAGGCAGTCATAGGCACAAGAAAAAAGTCTGGAGCCTGGACTGGAACATAGATAGGGTCTCAGTAATGCAATTGGTCAAAACAGGGGAAGTAAAGACATTGGGGGGCAGCAGCAGAGGAGTGAGGGCTCATTGAGGGAAGGTTGACGGAGGGTTTTTACAGAAGGCCTTGGTTGCTGGAGCTGAGGCCCACGGGCTCTGGTGGAGTAGCAGAGAAAAACATGAAGGGCAATAGAGCGAGGCGACTAGGGGAGAGGTTGGTCGGGTAAGATTCCATGTAGGTTCATGAAACCAGTGAGAACGGTCTTGTCGTTGACAGTGGACTGAATTGCTCGCGAACGGAGGGATTTGAGGATTGCGATGATGCGGGTCTCATTTACAGGTGTGGGTGAGAAAGTCTGGCGGTGGGCATTCAAGATTACTTGGAGTTTGGAGATGAGGAATCTGGGGATGCCATAGGTGGGAAGAAGACAGTTGCAGTCGTCAAGTGGAGCTGTGATGAACGCATGGATAAAGGTCTCGGCATAGGTGAAGGTCAGGGCCGGATTAATGTTCTTGTAGGCCCTAGGCACTTCTGTTTGCAGGCCTTCGGTGGTAACTTTCTCCAGGTGCTACTGCTGTTGCCCCATGTTACTACCACCGCTGTCACTCGCTTTTTAATCCTCTGGACAGATGTCGTTACCGTTACGTTCATTATTTAGTCTGTGCCCTCATTCGATGGGAGCGTGCGATTTGTGCCGCAGCTAAGCAGAATTACTTTGAATTGATTGAGAGAGAAAAACAAGGCAAGCCTCAAAATCTAAGCGAAAATGTCTTCAAATATTTTTACTAGGATTATTATATCGGATGACGCAGCTTTAAAAGGATGCCGCTCATTTTAATCGATCACAAATTCAATGTTATGAGACCTCCTTTGCCAGTAACAAGATATAGTAATAGGTTTTACCCTTTTAACTGGCACAAAAACTGACTGCTTGTGTTGTGGTTATTGCAAACATGATGCCTTGAATAAAGGTGTCAGTTTTTGTGCCAGTTAAAAGGGTAAATCCTATTACTAAATTCAATGTTCTGACAGGACGAGCGAATGGTAAGTGCCATATTGCTTTAGTTTCGTTGAAGCTTCAAGATTTATCATACAAACAGAAAAACAGTCAACATTTTTTTCATAAGACCTTTAGTTTTCGTAGGCCCTATTAGATAATGCAACCCTGGTGGCGGTAGGAGGTTCTTCATACATAATACACGTTTTTTTTAGTTAGATCGCGTAAATATGTGTCGTTAAATCCGCCACCACCCGACACAGCCAACTAGTAAGGTTTGTCACGTAAACAGAACGTGGCCAATTCGTGACTAGTACAGCACACCGGTGTGTTGGAGAGACAGATTTGACTGTCGCCTGATTAAGCTAGTTGTAATTATTGGCGAAACGTCGTACTCCGATTGAAAATGTTGTATTATGTATATTGGTCGCGAAAGCCTCCGTGCTAAACTGGTTCTTCATATTCTTGGTTCTTTCGGTAAAGTCACGTAGAAGGGGAACAATAAAATAATAAAAATATAAAACGTGGGAATAGAATGAGTCAAACTGATGGTGACTGCAAGGTTTCTGACACTTCTCCAGTTTAGTATCAGTTTATGAGCACAACTAGAATATCCATCGCATTTCGACTTTTTGGCAAAATGTTGGAATTCTGTTAAATAAAATACAGTACGTATAACTTTGGTAAAGTCGTGACAGAGTGGGTCGTGTATTGCACTTTGAACCCACTTTGTTCATCCAGAGGCAAAATAAGTGGCGACTGGAACCCAAATCACTTCAACCTGCACTGACCAACGTGGTGAAATATGGACCTTCACCCAGTAGTGAATTGAGAAAGGGCTGTAACTATTATGCGAGTAAACCAGCCTTAAAAAGGATCAAGTATGAAACGCTTACAAGAATGATTGCTAATATTAAACCGAGGACTATGATTAATGCCGTTCGTGGAAGCCTCTATCACATGTCATCGAAATGCTGTTATGTTAAATACAGTACTGTATGTGAATTATTAATACGTCCCCAGGTTTCATAGCATGAATGAGTTATTCTTCAATTAGATGTCTCTATCAAGTTTAACGTAAATTCAGGACATCCCAGTAAAAAGAAGCAAAGGTCCAGCCCTGAAATGTCTTGCAGATGCCACTGCTGACAAGAGCCCCCACTCTGGAGGACACTGTGGCTGAACCTTCCACGATGGACATCTACCCACACAAAGTGCGGCGTGTGCCCGTAAAGGATGGTCCAGATGTCTTGTGACTCCCATTCAATTCTCTAAAACTCACGGGTTTTTTTTAAAAGTAAGGTTTATATAAAAACAGAAATGAATATACAATGATGGTGGGTGGGGTGACAAAATGTTAGTGGTCAATTCATTGAGGGGGGGGGTCACAAAACATCTGGACCACCACCACCCTCCTATACATTTAAGAATGAAGACTCTTTTATCTCATGCTTGTCGTCCTTCCCCTGTCCACCACACCAAGCGCCTCCGATTAGCCACACGGATGGGCTACGTACAGTGTGAAAGAAGTTCAACACGTACAGTGCGTACAACACCACACACACACTCACTCACACGACAGAGAAACGTTGCGCCGCGTTTTTAACAACAACAAAAAAAACTTTGAAGATCGCGACCCAAACCCCGGCCCGGTTCGTGCCCAGGCTGCCCACGGGCACGGCGGCGTAGCGAGGACATGGGCCGCCGGTGTAGGGCAAGCGACGATTCAGATCCCTCGCCTCGTTTCACGACGACGACGATGATGATGACGACGACGGCTTACAGTACTCACCACGGAGGCGCGCTACCGGTTCCTGCTTTTGTCGGCAACAGCCGGGGTTGGATTTTTGTTGTTGCTGTTGCTGCTGCTGCTGTTGTTGTTGTTTACACGAAAGTTGTCTCAAGTACTCTCCAGCTGATGTCGCACAGTCTTAGCGGACTCCGCTCTCCTCCCCCCGCCACACACACACAGCGACGTTGTCTTTATCACCCACGCCGCGCCCACCGCGTTGTTAAAACGCCGAAATCCCGCAGCCCGTAGGCGGTGGTGGTGGCGGTGGTCTGACGCCGTCCACACCCCGGGCAGCCCCCATAGCGCGTAAGGGCCACGTACACACAAAGTTCATCATCATCATCAACACACACACAAAGTTAATCATCATCAACACACACACACAAAGTTCATCATCAGCTCAACGCGACAAAGTCTGGCGGCGGGGGGAGGGGGCAATGACCTCCCTTGAGCAAACAACACAGAGAAGCCCGTCTGATGATGAACTCTGTTGTTCATCAGACTGACGATGAACTCTGTTGTTCATCAGTCTGATGGTGAACTCTGTTGTTCATCAGGCTGATGATGAACTCTGTTGTTCATCAGACTGATGATGAACTCTGTTGTTCATCAGTCTGATGGTGAACTCTGTTGTTCATCAGACTGATGGTGAACTCTGTTGTTCATCAGTCTGATGGTGAACTCTGTTGTTCATCAGACTGATGGTGAACTCTGTTGTTCATCAGGCTGATGATGAACTCTGTTGTTCATCAGACTGATGACGAACTCTGTTGTTCATCAGTCTTATGATGAACTATGTTGTTCATCAGTCTGATGATGAACTCTGTTGTTAATCAGACTGATGATGAACTCTGTTGTTCATCAGACTGATGACGAACTTTGTTGTTAATCAGACTGATGATGAACTCTGTTGTTCATCAGACTGATGACGAACTTTGTTGTTCATCAGACTGATGATGAACTCTGTTATTCATCAGACTGATGACGAACTTTGTTGTTCATCAGACTGATGATGAACTCTGTTATTCATCAGACTGATGATTAACTCTGTTGTTCATCAGTCTGATGATGAACTCTGTTGTTCATCAGTCTGATGATGAACTCTGTTCATCAGTCTGACGATAAACTCTGTTGTTCATTAGACTGATGATGAACTCTGTTGTCCATCAGTCTGATGATGAACTCTGTTGTTCATCAGACTGATGATGAACTCTGTTGTTCATCAGTCTGATGATGAACTCTGTTGTTTATCAGACTGATGACGAACTCTGTTGTTCATCAGTCTTATGATGAACTCTGTTGTTCATCAGGCTGATGATGAACTCTGTTGTTCATCAGACTGATGGTGAACTCTGTTGTTCATCAGTCTGATGATGAACTCTGTTATTCATCAGACTGATGACGAACTTTGTTGTTCATCAGACTGATGATGAACTCTGTTATTCATCAGACTGATGATTAACTCTGTTGTTCATCAGTCTGATGATGAACTCTGTTGTTCATCAGTCTGATGATGAACTCTGTTCATCAGTCTGACGATAAACTCTGTTGTTCATTAGACTGATGATGAACTCTGTTGTCCATCAGTCTGATGATGAACTCTGTTGTTCATCAGTCTGATGATGAACTCTGTTGTTTATCAGTCTGATGATGAACTCTGTTGTTCATCAGTCTGACGATAAACTCTGTTGTTAATCAGACTGATGATGAACTGTTGTTCATCATCAGTCTGATGATGAACTCTGTTGTTTATCAGTCTGATGATGAACTCTGTTGTTCATCAGTCTGACGATAAACTCTGTTGTTAATCAGACTGATGATGAACTGTTGTTCATCATTAGTCTGATGAAGAACTCTGTTGTTTATCAGTCTGATGATGAACTCTGTTGTTCATCAGTCTGACGATAAACTCTGTTGTTAATCAGACTGATGATGAACTGTTGTTCATCAGACTGATGACGAACTCTGTTGTTCATCAGTCTTATGATGAACTATGTTGTTCATCAGTCTGATGATGAACTCTGTTGTTAATCAGACTGATGATGAACTCTGTTGTTCATCAGACTGATGACGAACTTTGTTGTTCATCAGACTGATGATGAACTCTGTTATTCATCAGACTGATGACGAACTTTGTTGTTCATCAGACTGATGATGAACTCTGTTATTCATCAGACTGATGATTAACTCTGTTGTTCATCAGTCTGATGATGAACTCTGTTGTTCATCAGTCTGATGATGAACTCTGTTCATCAGTCTGACGATAAACTCTGTTGTTCATTAGACTGATGATGAACTCTGTTGTCCATCAGTCTGATGATGAACTCTGTTGTTCATCAGACTGATGATGAACTCTGTTGTTCATCAGTCTGATGATGAACTCTGTTGTTTATCAGACTGATGACGAACTCTGTTGTTCATCAGTCTTATGATGAACTCTGTTGTTCATCAGGCTGATGATGAACTCTGTTGTTCATCAGACTGATGGTGAACTCTGTTGTTCATCAGTCTGATGATGAACTCTGTTATTCATCAGACTGATGACGAACTTTGTTGTTCATCAGACTGATGATGAACTCTGTTATTCATCAGACTGATGATTAACTCTGTTGTTCATCAGTCTGATGATGAACTCTGTTGTTCATCAGTCTGATGATGAACTCTGTTCATCAGTCTGACGATAAACTCTGTTGTTCATTAGACTGATGATGAACTCTGTTGTCCATCAGTCTGATGATGAACTCTGTTGTTCATCAGACTGATGATGAACTCTGTTGTTCATCAGTCTGATGATGAACTCTGTTGTTTATCAGTCTGATGATGAACTCTGTTGTTCATCAGTCTGACGATAAACTCTGTTGTTAATCAGACTGATGATGAACTGTTGTTCATCATCAGTCTGATGATGAACTCTGTTGTTTATCAGTCTGATGATGAACTCTGTTGTTCATCAGTCTGACGATAAACTCTGTTGTTAATCAGACTGATGATGAACTGTTGTTCATCATTAGTCTGATGAAGAACTCTGTTGTTTATCAGTCTGATGATGAACTCTGTTGTTCATCAGTCTGACGATAAACTCTGTTGTTAATCAGACTGATGATGAACTGTTGTTCATCATCAGTCTGATGATGAACTCTGTTGTTCATCAGTCTGATGAAGAACTCTGTTGTTTATCAGCGCGTTGGGTGAAGTCGGGGCTGTGGACGATGAGAACCCCACGGGCTGCGTGGACGATTTGCGAGTGAAGTCCTTGCGCCGGGCGGTCCGCCACCGACGACGATGATTCAAAATCTTCGTACCGTGCCAGCCCATGCGGTGCATTATTATTATTAGGGGGCCGTCCATAAATGACGTCACGCACCAAGGGGGGTGGGGGTCAAGACGTTTGTGACGATGCGTGACGAGGGGGGCGGGGTTTGAGAAATGTGACGTCACATTTAAATGCGCAACTTTAAATAAATATAGACAATTGATTTGAAGCTTTCGTGACTGCAGGGATCTACACTCTGTGGTTCTTTCGGTAAAGTCACGTGGGTAGAAATACAACAAAATAAATCACGACGTTTCGGTCGCAACACAAGCGACCGTCATCAGGCAGAACCGATCATTTAGGAAAAAGATCTGGTAACAACAAGAGCTTATAAAGGGTTTTAGTAGGCTCAACCCCATGGTAAGTGGGCGGAGCTAGAGAAGGAAGAAAGGAGGGATGGAGGGAGTTGGGCACAGGTAACATCAGAGTGCAGTGATACATTAAATACGTACTACAATGGCAATAGTTTAAAGCGATTTGAAGCATGTTTTATTTTTTTGTGGGTGGGGGGGGGGCAGAGCTTTGTGACGTCATATTTGAGGAGAGGGGGGGGGGTCTGACTTGTTGTGACGCCGTGTGACGATTGGGGGGGTGGGTTCAAAAATCGTCCAAAATCGCGTGACGTCATTTATGGACGGCCCCTTCTAACCCCTCCTTCTTGTACAGGGACATTGAGTGTTCAGGCCCATACGGCGTACAGCCGTTTCAATACGGGCAAAAGGCATGTCTCTGTCTATTTGTTTGCGTTTCTCCCTTGTTGATGGGACTTTGTAAGATGAACGTTGAGCTTTATAAGGACACGGGGTGACCAATACGGTCTGAATTGGTCTTTAATAAGTTGGGCGCTGATAAGGGGTTGACAGGTGTGGGTCTTGTACCTACGATAACCACCCAGGAATGTCTGTCCTTAACGCTTCTGACGTCACTCCACATCGACCAGCCCCCCCTCATTAATATTCATGATCAAGTGACGTTCTCCACATGGACACCCCCCCCCCCATTCATAATAATTAGGGGTGACGTCACTCCACGTGGGGGGCGAGGCGCCTCCTCCCCCCTCCTCGGTGTCAACTGACAACCCTCACTACAAAGGCAGAACCCTCATCACGTCACGTGATCTCCGTGACACTGTTGAGACATAGAAGTAAAAATGACGTCGTGATGAACAAGGATTATAAACCTTTACATGAAATAGATCTGTGTCACCGCGCCCTTACAAATTTCACATGAATTGATGCAATTAATATATCACGTCGCGGTCTGATTTTCGCTTGCAAGTTTAAGATTTGCTGCAATACACTCGTCCTTGGACGGGCAACAGGCGAGTATAATAAGGGTTAGCCCGAACGCTGTTGTTCTCCAACTTGGTATTTTCTAAAAGCACAACCATCCGACTCTGCAGCCACGACTAACTCAAAAGTCTGCGTTGGGATAATCTCTCGAGTCAAATGTATTTGGCCCACGCACAAGGGTTGAATCATTAATTTTTTTATCGGCATAATTTTGTGAAATGCGTGTGAGAGGCCAACAGAGATTACTTTATGTGGTTTGGCTGGATGCGTAAATCAACTTCAGTTGTGTGCAGCAAGGCCGTAGCCATGGATTGAACATTGGGGGTGGACAAAATCTTCCAGGGGGTCCGGGGGTCCTCCCTCCAGAAAAAAAATCTAAATTTGAAAACTAATTTCCTGCCTAAAATATAATAAAAAAAATTCACTAACACATGGGATGCACTTTTTATTTTATTTTTTACAATAATGTCTAACAGTGTATTGTATTACATTGTTCTGTTTTTTTGTCTTGTTTCATTGTATGTAATGGCAAAGATTAGGGATTGATAAAGTACAACCATAACCGCAATCATATAAACAGAAATCTATGCGTTGTTATGTGAAGACAAGTCCAGATATTGCGGCCAAGATTTAGCAAATTGTTGTTTTTATTTATAAATATTTACAAGTAAACTTGGGTGCGCGGCAGGGGGCGTTTGCTCTGCTCTCCTCCCCTCTCCAGCCCTCTCTCCTCCTCTCCACTGGTCCGATATTCTCCTCTCTTCTCCAATCATCTCTTTTCCTCTCCCCTGCTCTGCAGTCATTTCTGCTCCTTTGCTCTCCTCTCATCTCCTCTCCAGGCAATGACAAGCGTTTTGACTTGCCATTCTTCAAGCAAAGGATCCAAAGGCCTTTTTGCGCTTAACGTTGACACCGATAAAAGACTGCCATATTCCTTCAAGGTCCAGTCTGTCCAGTTTCTCCTGTTGCACGTGACACATGGCCACATTATTCAGCCTTGTTTTGACTCATCGAAGATCTAAGTCATATTCTTTGGGTCTTTCGGTAAAGCCACGTAGATAGAAAAATAATAAAATAATCAAATTAATCACAATATCACGATGTTTCGATCACAACACGAGCAATCGTCATCAGGTGAGAGCTGTTGAAGCAGGAAACAATATATGTCGTGAGCGCTGCTAAGGCAGGGAGTTATAAA